CAAAGAAAGTCATGTTAAGCCAGCAAGGAGGCAGATCGAGCCACCCCTTCTCCTTCTCGCCCGTCAGATCTATTGTGTCATCCTGGCATTGCCATTTAAACCTTAAAGACACATGTTGAGGAGAGAAAGCCACAACTGTTGGTCCAGTCGATGACGTGCCCGAACCCGACTACAGAATTGTCCCCATATCACCCGGAGAGGGTCTGACATAATTTTGTTCCTTCTTCGAGGCTAGAAGAACGGTACTAGCCATGCGTTCAGCAGCGAGATTCATTCTTTCTGCAAGAAACAATAGACTTTGGTTCAGTAAATAGGAACAATAATTCAAGAACATAAATTTAATCAAAATATAGTATAACTACCCAAATACCCAATAGGATCCTCTCTCTCGAGGAGCTCCTTAACACCTATCAAGTCGGGCTCACAGATCACTTTCTCGTCCTCATCGAAAACAGGTATTCCTCCTCTACCCACACGCTGGACTTGGGGGATGCCTGCGATAAAGGTCGTCAGACGATCATAGCTAGCCTGGTCCTTTTCACCAAACTGGTCCTTCTTCCATATATAATGGTCGGTCCCATCATCATAATGTTTCTTCGACCAATGAAAGAGAAACTTTGGCACCACCTTTACCATCAGATTCCTTTCCTCGTTTAGCTGAGGTTTCCCGATATCGTCGACTAGTTGAACGCTCCTAAATATGTTCAGCAGCGCCCTCTCTGACAAAGGCGAAACCAGCACGCACCTCGGCTTGAAATCTCGGACAGACTCCAGGTAAGCTTTAAACAGCTTTTCGTTCGCCTTCTTGAGGGAGACCCACGGGAATCGACCACCTTGAGCACCCCATTAGAGGTGTAAGTAATAGAAGAATATAGGAACGGTAACCCTTATCTATAGATGATCACACACATTCTCTAAAGCCCACAAGAACACAATCGAATTAGGATGCAATTGCGAAAGAGAAAGGAGAAGATGTCGAAAAACGGCCACCTGAAGGTCATTAAAAGGAAGCCTAAAACCCATCTCTCTAAATAGAATCTCGCACATAGGAATGTGATCCTGCTCAAATTCCGAACATACCTGGTGATCCGAATTAGGAATATATACGACCTACTCCTCCTCGACGCCCTCTACATCCATACTTGTATCCACCGCGGTAAACACTTCGTCTGAATGCTCACAAAAATAAGAAACCCACTTCAAAGGATTAGGTGCGACCCAAGCTAAGGGATCCGCCTGAATCACGGGCGCGTCCTGAGCAGCGGGCGTATCGTCCCCCACCTCGATCAGCTCTGGCATGACCGGATCGGGCTCGGGCATCCCCGTAGTGCTCCACCTCATGTTTGAACTTTATGAGAGATTCCCATGTCATTCTGGAGAACTCATCAATAAATGACACAAAGTATTTATTTTCTCTAATCGATGCTACTGGAAAAGGACCACACACATTAGAGTGCACTACTCTCAAGGCATACTTTGCTCTTAGAGCTACTTCTGACGCAAATGGAAATCTTGGTTGCTTCCCTTCCATGCACACCTTACATGACTTCTCAGGCTTCTTGATTATAGGAATTCTATGTACCAGCTTCTTCCATTTCAGATGCCCTAAGCTTCTGAAATTCACATGACCAAATCTTATGTGCCACAACTCACTCTCCTTGACAACACTTGTTGCACTAAGACATTCAGAGTCTACAGTTCTAACATTCACCTTAAATGTTCTCTTCCTTCCATGTTCTGACTCCATAATCAGCTTCTAATTACAGTCATACAACTTTAGATGATTGTCTTTCATGGTAAATTAAAAACCTTTCTCAATCAGTTGTCCCACGCTTATCAGATTTCTTTTCATGCCATGTACATACCACACATTATGGATAAATGCTGCTTTCCCATTGTTTAGAAGAACTCTGACATTTCCCATACCTTCTACATTGAGGTATTTATTATCAACACATCTGATCTTTGTACTCTTTCTAGAGTCAAAATCAATCAACCATTTATTGTTTCCAGTAAGATGGTTTAAACACCGTGTGTCTATATAGCACCATTCTGATGAATTCATATCATTAGAGTCAAAAGCCAACTATAGCACAGGTTCATCATCAGACTCTCCTCTGGCTATATTTACTTCTTTTGACTTCCTTTCTTTGTTTGACCAGAAATCTTTGGAATAGTGATCAAAGTTCTTGCAACAATAATACTGAACATTCTTCTTGTCAGACTTCTCCTTTCCCTTCTTGACATTCTTTTTCCTATTAGAGGTTGAAGCTTCTGACCTCTGACCACCATTAGTTTTCTTCCTGGCTTCTGACCAAGTCTGCTTCTGATACTTCTTACCAGAAGTTGCTTTCAGAGTCTGCTGATCTACTTCCCTCTCAAAATTTCTCTTAGTCATATGCAACTCATGTGCCTCTAGACTACTTTGTAGCTCTTCAACTCTCATGGTGCTCAGATCTTTGGAATATTCAATTGCTACAACAATGTAATCAAACTGAGAAGTTAGAGATCTCAATACCTTCCTTATGATTATTTGTTCAGAAAGGGTTTATCCACAAGCTTTCATCTCATTAGTGATCAGAAACACTCTAGAGATGTACTCAGAAACCTTCTCGTTGTCCTTCATGTTGAGATTCTCATATTGTTTTCTTAGGGAATGAAGCTTCACCTTCTTCACTGATGTGTCACCACCGTAACATCTGACCAGTGTGTCCCATGCAACCTTTGTTGTTTCAGAGTCAACAATATTCTCAAACACATTCGCATCCACACACTGATAGATGTAGAACAATACTTTCTGATCTTTCTACCTTATCGCCTTTTGCGTTGTCTTATGTGCCTCCGCCGCGTCGGCTGAATATGAAGCATGGCTATCGGTGACAAGATCTAACACATCTTGAGAACCGAACAACACACGCATCTAAATCTTCCAACGATTCTAGGTTTTTCCATCAAACACTGGAAGCTTGGAATTGATATCGCTCTTTTCGTTCATCTTCAACCTTATGCAGATAACTCAAAAACTCATTAACACACAGTGTTTCCCAAATTCTACAAAATCAGAAAAATGTGATTCTCAATCACATAACACCTCAATGTTCACTTGTGTTTTCCGTGTTTCCCCGTGGATTTCAAACCGAAGCTCTAGATACCAATTGTTGGTGCACAAAGGAGAGATGAAAAACAAAAATAATATATTAAATGACGGCTACAAAATAAGGAGTACTAAATACATTGACTTACCTATTATTAGATTATTTATACACAAATATTAGGAGATAATAAAATACTAAAATACTCTCTAACAAACTTAGTCAATAAGACATTATTAAAATATAAATTATTTCCAACAATAAATTAAGTTACAATTGATAACATTAAGACATTATCATATTCATGTCGACCAAAATACTCGTACTCTTTGGCATTTGATATTTCAAATTTTGAATACATGAATTAATTACTCATTTAACAATCAAATTTAGATGTCAACAATAAATATTTGATTTATATTAATTTTGATGTTTTACTTTGTTTTCATTTGATATTTATACTGTCACAATAATTTTTGTTTTAATAAATAATTTATATATCCAAAAGTTGAATTAATAAATAATAATGTTAGAATTTTTTCACTATAATTTAACTCGTGGATTCCACGGGTCTAAAACTAGTTACAATAAACCAAAAGATAATTAATTTTTATATACAAATTAATAACCTTTGGGTTGATTGTATTGTGACACTAAAAATATGATTTTTTACTATAAATTATAACTTATATTAACATTAATAAAAATTTTAAAGATTTTTATAAAATACTAAATATATGTTTTATACATTTTCTTATGATGATGATGAATATGCCACAATATGCTTATTAACAACCCTTTAGTTCATTGTATATTGTGACTTAAACTATAAGCTTTTTATTTTTTGAGAAAATTATTCTAAAATATTCTTTTTTAATTTAAATTATTAATTATATTTACAGTGACATATTCATCATCATCATAAGAAAAAGTCTAAATTAAAATCTTCAAAACTTCCATTAACATTGTTAATATAAATTTTCATTTACAGTTAAAAGTTTATATATTTTGAGTCACAATACAATCCAAAGATTGTTTCATTTACAGTTAATATATATATATATATATATATATATATATATATATATATATATATATATATATATATATATATATATATATATATATATATATATATATATATATATATATATATATATATATATATATATATATATATATATATATATATATATATATTCAAAATTATAAAAAGATGATACATATATAATAATTTTAAAAAATGCACAAATTACTTAACATTAAATGTTATTTTTCTATTTTCCTTTTACAAAATTGTCATTTTAAGTAAAAAAAATATCATTTAGGCATTTTAGTTAAAAAATTAAACTTGATAATTAAAAGATTATGAGTACATATATAAAGTGAGGATAATAAAATATCCAAAAAGACATAAAATAACAAGAAAATCTACAAATAGTTAACATTAAATGTCATTTTTCTATTTTCACAAATTATTATTTTACGTATTTTAGGTAAAAAAATAATTAACATAAATATATATTTTAGTTAAATATATTAAACTTTATATTGAAAAAATCATGAATTAATAATGTTATTAACATTATTTCTAATTTATAGTCAATAACTATGATTTGAGAGTCTCAATACTGTGAATCAAATAACTCTCAATTAGTATATAACAGCATTATGATAGAGTAACATATTTATCATCATCATAAGAAAAAGTCTAAAACATGGCAACACATTACATCTCCATTGTTTTTTTGATTGCTTCCCTCATTGCATGTTCAAGTGCAACCTCAGAAACAATATTATCAGATGTTAATCTTCTTGAATTTCCTCTTAATTTAGAGTATTTGGAAGCTGAATTCTTTTTATTTGGATCGACTGGTCATGGTTTGGATAAAATTGCTCCTGAGTTAGCTGAGGGTGGACCACCTCCTATTGGGGCCAAGTTGGCTAAATTCAATGATACTGTGATTAGAGATATCATCTATCAATTTGCTCTTCAAGAAGTTGGACATTTGAGGTTTCTCTTTCTATTACTTTTTAAATCTTATATAGTTTCATGTGTTCAGATTCTAAAATAATAAAGTTGCATGAATCTTAATTGCAGGGCCATAAAGAACACAGTGGTAGGATTCTCTAGGCCTTTGTTAGATCTAAGTCAGTCCTCATTTGCCAAGGTGATTGACAAAGCCTTTGGACGACCTTTGCGCCCTTCTTTTGATCCATATGCAAATGATATCAACTATCTTATTGCATCTTATTTGATTCCTTATGTTGGTCTTACCGGATATGTTGGAGCAAATCCACTCCTCCAAAATGCAGCTTCCAAGAAGGTATCATAAACTTAAACCTTAAACCATAAACTTTAAACTATAAAAACTTTATGCTAATAATGTTGTATGTATTGTATCAGCTAGTAGCAGGTCTTCTAGGTGTAGAGTCGGGTCAAGATGCGGTTATAAGAGGATTGTTATATGAACGTCGTGCATGGAAGGTGAACCCTTATGGAGTAACCGTGGGAGAGTTCACTGATCGCATTTCCAAACTTAGGAATCAATTAGGAAATGAAGGTGTGAAAGATGAAGGTCTTGATGAAACATTTTCTTCTGGAAGCATTCTTGCTGGTGACAAATATTCACTAGCATATTCAAGGACTCCAAAAGAAATATTGAGGATTGTCTATGGAAGTGGTAATGAAACCGTCCCCGGAGGCTTTTACCCTAAAGGAGGAAATGGTCATATAGCAAGATCTTACTTAAAATAATTTAATTAGAGTTATTGAGAATTTATTCTCTAGCTATTGTCTCTAAGTTGGTTGTTATATAAGATGCCTAGAGAATAAATATTATAAGCAATTATTTTTAATGGCATAACTAATCTTGTTTGAAAATTGGCTTGTTATTATATATTCGAATTTATTGTGATTTAAGCAGAAACACATGATTTGAAATGACTTAATTTCTTACATTTAAAGTGACAGATATAACTAAAGGTAAAATAAAACTAGATTTTAAAGGAGGAAGGATATAAAACAAACTTTTCTATTTTTATATGATATTATTTTCAAGAGAATTAAATACGTCTTAGATAGTTTAGAGTTTCTTATAAGATATTGAACCATATCCTTTTTAAAAAAATAAATGATATTATTGTCAAATATAATAAAAAGTGAAGACGATTGCTAATGTACCCTTTTAGCATTTGACAGTACCTGTATATTCCAAAGATGAGACAATGCCTCACAAACGCCTTCCAACATCACGCATGAGTTGGCCGAAAAAACTCCCCCTATTTCCTTAGACCACACAAACAGATCCCACTCCTCTTGCTTGACTTCAACGTTAAACATTGGAGCCTGAAACTCAGCCAAAATGTTATTGTCTATGTCAGCCATGTTTACCAGCATAGACTTAAAGTTCCATCTCAACCAACCCTCCTACCAACTCCCGGCTTGAGCAACACTCATGAGGGGAAAGGCTGCCTTTGCAAACACCTCAGGAAATGCGTCTTTCAAAAAGCCACTCCATAATGCATTCTCCTTTGACACAATCCCCCATTTCCATTTTGTCAGAAGACCGCCTTATTCAAATCCTCTATATCCTTGATACCAAGGCCCCCTGCTAACTCCAACTCACCCAATGAATTATCCTTCTATTCTATACCCCCTTCATAAAAACCTACTTTGGATACTCCTTATATCTTATACCACCCTCGTCGAAACTTTATAGAAAGAAAAAGTATAAATTAGGATTGAATTTACCCTTCATAAAAACCTACTTTGGATCCTCCTAATATCTTGTACCACCTTCGTCGAAACTTTATAGAAAGAAAAAGTATAAATTAGGATTGAATGTTTTAATGTGTTTGTTAGTTTCCCAGCATTTTTTGTTTAAAACTCGTAGTTTGATGTTGTCTCAGAGTTGAAGAAACAGAGAAAACTCAGCATCTGTGTTCCAGAAGCCTCGCCCGGCGATAGGGAGGCGAGTGAAGGAAGCCTCGCCCGACGAAGGTGAGGCAGCTGGTGAGAAAAATAAAAAATTCCAGTAGTTATTGTCTTGGTGTCGGCTGTTGGAGCGCCCAACAAAGAATTAACAAGAAGAACTCCCCCGGATACGCAGAGGTCTCGCCTAGCGAAGCAAGATATTTTTTGAGGCTTGTGTGCGTTGTTCCTGTCACGTGGGCTTGTTAAATGGGTCTCTCCCGGTGAAACATGTGTTCCGCCCAGCGAGGTAAGCCGGACAAGCCATGTTTTTAAGCCACTTTTTAGATATTTTGGGATCATTCTTAAATTTTTTAATAGACTTGTAACCTAGAAAAACTCTTGTGTGGAGAAAAAAACTATTTTTGATCAAAATCAAAGCTTTCCAATATCAATCTTTGAGACTTCAAGTTTGATGTTCATAAAGCTTTGTTGTTTATTTGTTGATCAAGCTACTATAAGATTGGGTAGCTAAACCCCTTTTTGTGTCAAGGTTAGTGGTAGATAATCTCATTTTTGTATGTATTTAGCTTGAAATTTTGTATGTAAACAATGTGATGATGAATATATGGTGAAATATCCTTGTTTTATGGTTTATATTTGATTTGATCATTAATGAGAAATATGTTCAACTCTTGACCTAGGTTTTCATCTATCAACAAACAATTTCTAGACATAGTTTTGTGAGTTGATATTCACTTATATTGAGCTTTTAAAGTTATCAAATTGATATCTTGGTAGAGAGATCATATAAGGATCAATTTGATAAAACTCTTAATTTTTTTTAGAGATGAAACTTATTGAGAAGATAAATGATTATATTAACTTTTAATGAGTTCACATGCTTTATTAAGAAAATACGAACGAAATAGAGTATCAATCCTAATCTTGGCATGCTTTTATCAACCGTTTAAAATAAAAACTCTCTTTTACATATACTTCTAATGAACTCAAAACTTTCTGTTACTAAACCCAAAACCAAAATCTTTTATGAAATTTATGTTTAAAACAATTCTAATTGTAGAACCACGGTAATATCAAACCAATCTCTCTGGAAAACAATAATTTAAATGTTTACCCTTTAAAAGTGTTTAAACAAAATAGCGCCATTGTCGAGGAGGGGCAGCAGTAGATGATGGTGATGAAGGTGGGCAAGTTGGTGATGGTGATGATGAAATAGGAGACTAATGGGTATAGATGACCAAAATCATGGATGTTACAAAGTAAAGATATTTTTTTGCTTTGGTCATTTATTTCAGTTTTATCTTGATGTTTTAGTGAATTTATTTAAGTTTATGTTTGAACAATCTATTTTGGGGTGTTGTATAATATTTTAGTTTGGATGTTGTACCCTTTGGTGGGTTTTTTTTTTGGTGTTGTACACCAAAGACACCTTTTATTTTAATTAGGTTTTTTTAAAATTTTAAAAGTAGTAGTATAATATTTAATAGCTATTTGTACAAAGAGATTTTGTTGTGTTTGTCCTTGTACATAGTTTTGGGCTTAAGTGCTCAAGGAACAGATTCAGCTTTTCAAGAGGTTTCATCAACTCAACAATTTGGGTGGTCATGATAAAAGTCTCAATGGTGTACAAAGAAGGTATTGTTTAATCGCTTTGTAGAATGATATCACGATAATGAAATAACCCTTTATGCAACAATCATATTATGCATTATTTTGTAAATATGTGTTCATGTGTGAATCATTTGGACAAAAACCACATATGTGAGTAGCTTTCCATTTTTCACCAAAAGTTGAAGAATTCTAGTAATTGTTGTTAACTCGTTTAATTCATGTTTAATAGTGCATTACTTTTAGAAATTATAGAAATTAGGAAGTGATCAAGACATTTTTTTGTACTATGCGAAGAACCACCATTCTAAAAGGCTTCAATTCACCTTGTAGTAAGTTTATATTAGAAACTCTTTTGAGTCTTTAAAATTGTGTGATTGAATCAATAAAATTTAAAAGAAATTATTAAGTACATCACTTAGTAATTTTGTTGTTGAACATAAAGAAATTTGATATTGATTCAATCCAAAATTTTCTTGTTTGTAAACACTTAACCCAATTGTGCTTTCTTGTTGGTGGTACAATGCATCCTTTGAAAAATATCACAAAAAGTTAGAAAAAGGAATAACACAAAAAGAAAGAAAAAAGAAGGAAATGAGAATCAATCTTGAAAAAGAAAGGATAGGATGCATTGTAAGAAAAGAAATGAATGATGGAAAAGAATGTGGAAGTTGTACCAAAATGCTCTTCATGATTTTACCCATTTTGTTTCTTTGACCGTGTACATATTATCATTTGTTTTTAACGTGAGCCAAGCTACAACCTTAAAATCACTTAGTGATCTTGTTTCTATAATTTTCTTTTAGTTTGCTTAGATGATTGCATGAATTATTTTGTGTTGTGAATTCAATGCCAATAACAAAGTATAGAATAAGGGAGGAATAAGGAACAAGGAAGAGGAAGAACACAAGAATTGGTTATAACTGCTATTCTTTACTTTCTCTTAGGAAACAAGATTACAAGTTTACAAGAATAACAAATAACCCTCTCAGCCTAAATTAGGAGTTGCTGTATATTGCAATGATGAGAGACTAGTATGCTATTTATAATAAAACCTAACATACTAACTAATGGGCTTTTTCCACAGGGCCCAATATACAAGCTAACTTAATAAACAAGCTAACTTAACAAATTAGGGTTTAAACACTAAAACCTAATTTAACAAGCATTTTCGACAAATACATGCTATACCCTTCTTCGACTACAGCATGTACTTCGATCATACTAGAGTTTGATCCAAAATCCCACAAATCTCCACCTTGGACCTAACTCTACAGCATCAAGAGACACTAACTAGCTTTCTTCATGCAGCTTTATCAACTGCATACAGTGGAAAAACATGCAACTTGGCAATGTTTTGGTGATCATATCAGCGGCATTGTGATCTGTCGAGACCTTCAGCACTTGGACTTCTCCACGCTCGATTACCCCTCTGACGAAGTGCAGCCTCACATCTATGTGCTTGGTTCGCTCATGATAGGCTGAGTTCTTCGACAAGTGTATTGCACTTTGACTATCACATTTAACAGTGATACCTTGACCTTGAAGTTTCAGTTCCTTTGCAAAACCTTCAAGCCACAATGCTTCTTTCACAGCTTCAGTTAGGGCAATATATTCTGCTTCAGTAGTTGATAAGGCAACAACCTTCTGAAGAGTTGCTTTCCAACTAATTGCTGTACCAAACATAGTGAAAACATATCCAGAAATAGATTTTCTGGAATCCATACAGCCTGCATAATCAGAGTCAACATAGCCTTCGACAGCTGCTTTACTATCTTCACCCAAGGCTCTACCATAAATTAAGACTATGTTCAGAGACCCATTTATGTACCTTAGAATCCACTTTAACGCTTGCCAGTGAGCCTT